TATTCCTGGCACTAAACTAACATTTCCTCTGTTCATTAGTTATGTTTTGAGGCTTTACAAATAAATTTCATTTTGATTTTTTATTCACATAATGAATTTTTGTTCACACCAAAAAATAGAAGATTTACTGTTATGCAATATTGTAATAATTGTATAAATATCATCACCACATTTGTGAATGTATATTAGACCCACCAGCTGGCGTGTATTAGACGTGTGAGGTCGTTTGTTTACTCTTGAACATCGGCAAAAATTTAACACTTCCGCTAATTTGAGCTCAGTTTCAAGCCATTTCCATTGCTAAAACCAATCAAAATCATCTCTACTTCTGTAATATGTCTTCCATTCTATCAAATGAGACCAAGAAATCACAAATACAACTATAAAAAACATATGAAAAACACTGCAAAGTCGCTGTTTTAATCGAAAATCACAGTCTCAGTTTTTCTTCTCTCATTATACACAGTGTGCTGCAGGATTTGTTTTATGTGGTGCACACATACCACATAGATGTATTCTCTCATATCTAGGCCCAAATTTACCACTCACAGTTTATCAGAGTGAGACACAAATAACCTGCATATAAAAGAGAGAAGCTTACGACGATGTTTCGGTCCGACTTGGACCATTGACAAAATCACATTAACAGAGGTGGAGCAGGACGGCTATATATAGGCAGGAAGAGGTGGAGGTAGTAGTAGTAGTAGTAGTAGTAGTACAAGAATTGTATATAATACCGACAAGATGAAATTAAGACACATGCACAACACCCGGGCATCCCCATCGTAGACGTTTCGCCATCCAGCCAGCCACTGGATGGCGAAACGTCCACAACAAAGACAACCAGACACCGCACATGTGTCTTAATTTCATCAGTAGTTGTAGTAGTAGTAGTAGAAGAAGAGGTAGTAGTAGTGGTAGTGGTAGAAGTGGGAAATAAGGATGACAAGCCAGTCAAAAACAAAGGAAGGGGAGCACTGCAAGAGAGCTTGATGCCCACAGAGGGAGAGCAAGCGCACAGAGGTGCGTGAAAGGGGAAGTGGTGAAATAAAATAAATGAAGAAGGAACAGAAACACGAGACAGGAGAGAGAAAGACAACCCAGAGGAGAAAAGGAAAGAGGAAAGGGGAAGAGGAAGAAGAAAAAGAAAGAAAAAATGAGGATTCAGGTTAAGTCACAGGTGTTCTGAAGTTTGGAGCATTTTACAATGTAGTGGGAGAGGAAGGCATCTACAGAGACGAAGCCAGGGCTAAGGTTCATACAAGGAAAGTTGTGTATTAGAGAGGATTCAACTAGACGGCGACTGTTCGAGTTGGAAGTAGGGAAGACAGTTTTAGCAGAAGACCAGTCAATAGGATGGCTATGATCTCTGACGTGACAGAAAAGAGCATTGTTAGTGTCGGCAAGCCTAACACTATTTTTGTGCTCCCTAAGTCTGTCAGAAAGAGATCGACCAGTTTCTCCGAAGTATTGAAGAGGACAGGAGGAGCAAGAAATAGAGTAGACACCAGGAACATCTGTAGAGGGAGGAGAGGTATGAACGAGATTAGTGCGAAGAGTGTTAGTCTCCCTCTACAGATGTTCCTGGTGTCTACTCTATTTCTTGCTCCTCCTGTCCTCTTCAATACTTCGGAGAAACTGGTCGATCTCTTTCTGCTGGAGTGAACACATCGACTCAAGGTTGAGGGACTGATTACCTCATTCTCCTCCTGTTCTTCAAGTTTCTCCTACGTATGGACTGATGAAGCCACTGTGTGGCGAAACGTTTCCTCAATAAAGATACCCAGGAGTTGCACATGTGTCTAATTTATCAACATGTCGGTTCTCTGAACCATTCATCTACAAACTCTTCTCCTGTATATATTACTAAATGTAAAAGGAGAAACTTTTGTTTTTCCTCTTGGGCCACCCCGCCTCGGTGGGATACGGCCCGTGTGTTGAAAGAAAGAAGAAAGATCTCTATAACACATAGGTAGTAGGTTGGTAGACAGCAACTGCCCAGGGAGGTACTACCATCCTGCCAAGTGAGTGTAAAACGAAAACCTGTAATTGTTTTACATGATGGTAGGATTGCTGGTGTCTTTTGTCTCTCTCATAAACATGCAAGGTTTCAGGTACATCTTGCTACTTCTACTTACACTTAGGTCACACTACACATACATGTACAAGCATATACATATATACACACCCCTCTGGGTTTTCTTCTATTTTTCTTTCTAGTTCTTGTTCTTGTTTATTTCCTTTTATCTCCATGGGGAAGTGGAACAGAATTCTTCCTCCGTAAGCCATGCATGTTGTAAGAGGCGACTAGTATGCCGGGAGCAAGGGGCTAGTAACCCCTTCTCCTGTATAAATTACTAAATTTAAAAAGTGAAACTTTTGTTTTTCTTTTTGGGCCACCCCGCCTCGGTGGGATATGACCGGTGTGTTAAAAGAGAAAGAAAAGATCTCTATAACAAGCACTGCCCTAAAAAAACCAAACAGATCACAGCTAAGAGACTGAACAGTCCCTGGCTAATGCCCAGCATCCTCAAATCCATAAATATAAAGCACCTATAAGAAAAACAGTATAGAAAGGGTCACATAACCAGAGACCAAACAAAACATTACTCATCAATCCTAACCAGCCTGATAAGAAGGGCAAAAAAATTGTATTATGAGAACAGATTATCCAACTTAAAACGTGATAAAAGAAAGGCCTGGAAAACCTTATCTGAGATTCTAGGAACAAAAAAGATATCAGGAAACAGAGCAATCAAACTAACAAAACCAGATGAACCCCAACTCCCACCAACTGAAACAGCAAACAGACTCAATGTTTTCTTCTCCACCATAAGAAAAAACCTTGCTGATAAAATCCCAAGCTCAAATACCCCACCCAATGACTACCTCACTGGCAACTACCCGAACACACTGTTCCTAGCTCCGACTAACCCAACAGAAGTCTCCCTTATTATCAACACACTAAAAAACAAGACAGGAGATTTAAATACCTTACTGCCCTCTATATACAAAGTGCAAGTGCTGTCACCAATCACTGAAACACTCTTTAACAAATCCATCGAATCCTCTACCTTCCCCACAGTTCTCAAAATAGCGAGGGTCACCCCGATACATAAAGGATATCAAACAGACTTGAATAACTATAGGCCAATATCCAACTTACACCCTCTCTCTAAAATCTTTGAAAAATTAATTCATAAGCGAATCTATTCCTACCTCATCTCCCACAACATACTCAACCCTTGTCAGTTTGGGTTCAGGCCTAATAAAAATACGAATGATGATGCTATTATACACATGCTAGAACAAATATACACTGCACTCGAGAAAAAAGAAGTCCCATTGGGGATCTTCATTGATTAATGTAAAGCTTTTGATACAGTTGACCATGATTTGCTGCACATAAAATTGTCTCACTATGGTATAAGAGGGCACTCCCTCAACTACCTAAAGTCATACCTCAGCAACAGAAGCCAATGTGTGTACACAAATGGGGCAAACTCTTCCACACAGCCAATTACAGTTGGTGTCCCACAAGGAAGTGTCCTTGGCCCTCTTCTCTTTCTCATTTACATAAACGACCTACCAAATGCATCGCAACTACTCAAACCCACACTATTTGCAGATGACACTACATATGTCTTCTCTCACCCAAGCCCAGTCATGCTAGCCAATACTGTAAATACCAAATTACAGAAAATATCTACCTGGATGATGATTAATAAACTTACTCTCAATATTGACAAAACCTACTTCATACAGTTTGGAAACAGAACCACCGATGTCCCTCTTAACACAATGATAAACGGATCACCTATCACAAAGCTCACAGAGGGAAAATTCTTAGGAATCCACCTTGATAATAGACTCAAATTTCAAACACATACACAACACATTTCCAAGAAAATCTCCAAGACCATACGCATACTATCGAAGATACAGTACTATGTTCCACAGTCAGCCCTCCTGACCCTATATCACTCACTCATTCATCCCTATATCACCTATGGAATCTGTGCATGGGGCTCAACAACAGTAAATCATCTCAGACCATTAATTGCCCAACAAAAGGCTGCAGTCAGAATGATAACAAATTCCCACTACAGGCAGCATACTCCACCAATACTCAAAGCTCTAAACTTACTCACCGTACAAAACTTTCTTTCTTTCAACACACCGGCCATATCCCACCGAGGCAGGGTGGCCCAAAAGGAAACACTAAAGTTTCTCCTTTTACATTTAGTAATATATACAGGAGAAGGGGTTACTAGCCCCTTGCTCCAGGCATTTTAGTCACCTCTTACAACACGCATGGCTTACGGAGGAAGAATTCTGTTCCACTTCCCCATGGAGATAAGAGGAAATAAACAAGAACAAGAACTAGAAAGAAAATAGGAGAAAACCCAGAGGGGTGTATATATATATATGCTTGTACATGTATGTGTAGTGTGACCTAAGTGTGAGTAGAAGTAGCAAGACGTACCTGAAATCTTGCATGTTTATGAGACAGAAAAATGGATACCAGCAATCCTACCATCATGTAAAACAATTACAGGCTTACATTTTACACTCACTTGGAAGGACGGTAGTACCTCCCTGGGCGGTTGCTGTCTACCAACCTACTACCTAGAATGTATCTATGTATCATGTCCAAATAATAATAAATAAATAAATATGAATGCTTTCCAGTAACTCATCTTATTTGAAAATTAGGGCTCTTTTATATCCTGGAAATACTCTATCTATATTAATGTTCAAGTGAGCAGTTTTATATGCACAGCACAATAGTGGGAACCATAGATAAGATATATGTTGTGATATGAGAAATAGCTAATGAATTACACAGTAGTGAATAGGAGCTTTAAAAAATTTACTACATTGTCAGTCTGCAAATGTTGGAAGAATAGTTAACAAAGCTTATATTAATGCAGAAACTAACCAAGTGCTGCTAAAATCTGAAAAAAGGATTTAAAGTATCTCTATGGCATACATTTTACCTTTCCTTTAATAAGATATCCAACCACTTGAGGAGCCACGAATCCTGGAATTGTGGCTGCGGTGTTGGTAATGCCCATAAGTGTACCAGCAAAGTTAGGAGCTATATCCAGGTGAGAGTTCATATAACCAGAATACACAGCACCGTTCAAACCTACAGCTCCACAAAGTAAGCCAATTGCTGCATCTCGGTTGCATCCAGCATAGCCAGCAAGGACGATGCAAACCATGGGACCATATATACCTAAAAAAAATATATTTAAAAAATTTTTGGTCATGAAAGCACTAATTCCAGAACATGAACAATCAAATGACAGTCTACAAAATCCTTTTCTTACTCATGTATTGTATGCTGCATGAAATACTATACATAATGTAGAGTCAAAAGAATTCAACAGTCACAAAATATGCAGAATTAGTATTTGCTTTGTCTCAATGAGTAAATTTATTGGGCAGGCTAGTTGATCCCCTACAGCTATTTTATTGGTGTCTTTCTTACCAATTGCAATATTTACTAATTACTTAACACATTATCATTAACTAATTGCAGCAAACCCATCATAATTTTTGTACAGTGTTCTTAATCATCATGAAATGTTAATTTTTTTATATATACATTAATGAAAGGAAGTACAGTAGGGCCCCGCTTTACGGTGTTTCGTCTTACGGGATTCCGCTAATAAGGCGATTTCAAATTCTGACCAAACCTTGCTATACAGAGAGCAGTCTTTCAAATACGGCACACTCCACCCTGTTTGTTTACATTCTCTTTGAGCACATCTCTCTAATATGTCTGGAAACATAATGTGTATTTTACATATACAGTGGACCCCCAGTTATCAGCCAGTTCTGTTTTTGGCCAACTCAGTGATCAGCCGGTTTTTCGGCGCCCAGTTATCGGCCGATAATTCGGCAATCAGCTATTTGGAATGCATTTGTCCACCAGCCCCAGCCACTTGCGCATCAGTTTGGCTGTGTCTCTGGGCGAGTGAGGAAGCTTCTGCTCATTCATCCAAACATTTTGCTATAACTCATTGTTTTTTGTGGTTATTGATTTAGTGCAACTGCAAAATAAGCAACCATGGGCCCAAAGAAACACGTTACATAGTATATAACAACAGGCAATGTTTATATGCGATGTATATTTAATAATAATCACTGGTACATTAAATGTCTTATTTTACGTTAATATACACATTTTCATTAATCCATCTATTATTTCTTCAAAATTATATAAGAAACATGTTACATATCATGTAGCATATAAATATGCAATGTTTATATGTTATCGAGTGGAGAGTTGGATGGAGAGTAAACATTACGTTTTCTCTGATGCAGCATAAGAGAAAACTGTGAATCTGGCGCTTGGTGCAGTAACCACCCTTCATATGCATTTGTTTACAATTCTCGGCATGAATTATTCATTACTTCTCCTTTTGTTTATAATGGCATCTAAAGATAGTTGTTAGAAACGATTAAACTCAGTGAGCATGGTAATAATATGGCTGCGCAGTGTAGCCCATGGGGGGGGGGGGCTACATACGTGTACTGTACCTACATCTACCGCTACCTACATTGACTTCCTACAAATGAATACTACTCACCTCTTGCCTTACATTAAGGCAACAAATATTTTAAGGTAAGTAATGAATGTACTGTAGCAATAAATGACAGAGATTAAAGAGGTGTGTACAATGTGGACTAGGGTGCAAGCTTTTGTAGAGAAACACCACCCTGACCAAGCTGAAACAAGCCATATCTGCAACATGTTTAGTGACAAAACCCTGTCCCACTTCAGGAAAATCTAAAAGAGACGCCAGACAGATTTGTTGTGCGACACGGGTCTAATAACTCTCAAGCTGATCCTAGTGGCATTAAAAGACAAAGAAGGGAAGTAATCCCAGAGAAGGCTTTGCTACCTAAAGTCTTTATGGAGGAGGATTCCCCTTCCAAACACTCCTCCCTCTTTCCTCTTCCCTATCTTCCAGAAGCCAGCATTAGCCTTCAATAAAGGTATGTAATATTTACATAATTGTTAAAAAAAATGTTTTTTTTTTGTGAATATTTTTGTCTGGAACCAATTAATTGTATTTCCATTAATTCTTATGGGAAATATTAATTTGGTTTTCAACCATCTCGATTATCAGCTGACCTTCTGGAATGGATTATGGCCAATAACCGAGGGTCCACTGTACATTAATGAAAGGAAGTACAGTAGGGCCCTGCTTTACGGTGTTTCGTCTTATGGGGTTCCACTAATACGGCGATTTCAAATTATGACCAAAACTTGCTATACAGCGAGCAGTCTTTCGAATATGGCACGCCCCACCCAGTTTGTTTACATTCTCCGCGAGCACCTCTCTCTATTATGTCTGGAAATTTTCCAAAAGTTCAAGTGTTTTAAAGTTATTGCATATTTTATATGTACTCTGATAATTATACTTATGTGTACCTGTACCTAAATATACTTACACGCTGTGCTGGCATGCAGGTACACATTAAAATCACTAAGTCTCTCTCTACTCTTGACATAATACATAATCTCTTGGACACATTAAATGTCATATATTACGTTAATATAGACATTTCCATTAATCCATCTACGATATTTTTTCAAAACTATATAATAAACATGCTACACAACTTACAAACATGATAAATACACCCCACAGTAGAATAAATTAACATAAACATGAGACGTGGTAGCCAAGCAACTTGTAGGACTTGTGGTAGCCAGGTGACTTATAGTCCAACATCAGAGAAAATGTGTCACTATAATATTACTGGGGGTAACTAGAAAATTATTCCTTCGTATGCCTTCACTCAGAGCGTCATTTCTTCTAAAAATGGTATTACAGGAGAATGGGAGTGTTTCTCTATTTATTCTACTGTATTAACGTGGAGACAACTTGTACACAATGTAAAGTGATGAAAACCAGATGCATTCTCCTGGTTTGTTTACATTACGTGTGGGCGGTGGTGGGGAGGGGAACACTGCCCTGGCTGGCTACCACCTGATTTTCAACAAATAAAACTCACCTCTCACCCTACATTAAGACTACAAATTAATGAATATACTGTATATGTATTTTATCACTCTGGGGTGCTTTAATTAAATGTCATAGTATATTACGTGTGGGTGGGGTGAGCTGACCTGGCTGGCTACCAAATTCTCAAACCTGACTTCCTACAAATAAAACTCACCTCTCACCCTACATTAAGACTACAAATATTTTAAGGTAATTAATGAATGTGCTGTATATGTATTTCATCGCTCTGGGGCACTTTAATTAAATCTTTCTTCAACAAACCGGCCATATCCCACCAAGGCAGGGTGGCCCAAAAAGAAAAACAAAAGTTTCTCTTTTTAAATTTAGTAATTTATACAAGAGAAGGGGTTACTAGCCCCTTGCTCCCAGCATTTTAGTCGCCTCTTACAACACGCATGGCTTACGGAGGAAGAATTCTGTTCCACTTCCCCATGGAGATAAGAGGAACTAAACAAGAATAAGAACTAGAAAGAAAATAGATGAAAACCCAGAGGGGTGTGTATATATATGCTTGTACATATATGTGTAGTGTGACCTAAGTGAAAGTAGAAGTAGCAAGACATACCTGAAATCTTGCATGTTTATGAGACAGAAAAAAGGACACAAGCAATCGTACCATCATGTAAAACAATTACAGGTTTTTGTTTTACACCCACTTGGCAGGATGGTAGTACCTCCCTGGACGATTGCTGTCTACCAACCTACTACCTACCTTTAATTAAATGTCATAGTATATTACATGTGGGTGGGGTGCGCTGACCTGGCTGGCTACCAAACTTCCCAAACCTGACTTCCTACAAATAAAACTCACCTCTCTCCCAACATTAGGACTACAAATATTTTAAGGCAAGTAATGGGTGTAGTGTGTGTGTATTTTACTTTTTATTGTTTTTAATGCCTAATTCTATTGCCAGCTTAATATATGTTAGTGTAAACTCATTATCTGGCATTTATATGCATTTATGAGTAGAAAAAATGGCGTTCTGCTTTCCGGCGATGTCTGCTTTCCGACAGTAGCCTGGAACCTAACCTGCCGTATAAGTGGGGGCCCTACTGTACTGAGATCTGACGTGCTTTTAGCCTTGGTATATCACTCAGTTCTCATGGCAATACAAAATAAATACTGTACACAAAACACTTAAGAACACCCAAGGTAAAATTAAATACCAATAGGAAACAAATCACAAGAGCAATAGTAATATGAAGATGCAGCAATACAAATTAACCCTTTGAGGGTCCAGATCCCAAATTTGAGGTTTGACCACATAGTCCAAGAATTTAAAAAAAAAAAAAAAAAATCTTATGAAATGGTAGAGAATCTTTTTCTGATGGTAATAAAACAAAAAGTATGAAATTTGATGGAAAATTGACGAAATTACACTATAGTGAATTTTCCTCTGTCAGCAATATTCAAGCATTGGTTAATTTGCTCACTATAGTAAGTAAGTTTATTCAGGTATACACAAATACAGTTACATAGAATCATCATACATAGCAGCATATGTGTAGAGAACCTGGGATAACCCAAAAAAGTCAGACAGAGTGACTTATTTCCATTGGGGTCCTTTAACTATGAGTCCTATTTTAGGCCAATTACATTATTCCAGTCGACAAAATTATTAGCCGTTTCACTAGTATGCCTTCCATTTAATCAACTAAACACTAGAAATTGCCCAGTCAACTATTTTAACTACCCAATAAAATTATCAGAAATTGGTAATTTGGCAAATTTCACACAAATTTTAAAATATTTCAACTTCAAAATAGGGTCCAGAATAAACAATGCAAGCATTCCTGGCACTAAAATAACATTTCTTCTGTTCATTAGTTATATTCCCAGGCTTTACACATGAATTCCATTTTTATTTTTTCACAATATTTTTATACACACAAAGACAAATAGATTTATTATTATGTAATATTGTAATAATTGTATAAATAATATCAGTGCCATCGTGAATGCATATTAGACCCACCAGTTGACATGTATTGGACACATGATGCGATTTGTTTACTCTTGAGCATTGGCAAAAATTGAACATTTCCCTTACTTTGAGCTCAGTTTCAAGCTATTTTCAGTCCTAAAACCAATCAAAATCATCTATATTTCTGTAATATATCTTCCATTCTATCAAATGAGACCAAGAAACCGTGAATACAACCATAAAAACAATACAAAAATACACCACAAAGTTGCAGTTTCTTTCACATTATGCACTGTGTGCTGCAGTTTTTTTTTTTTTTTTACATGGTGCACACTTACCACATAGAATACACCCATTCTCTTGTATCTAGGTCCAAATTTACCACTCACCACATATCTGAGTGAGCTGAGCTCATGCCATAGAACAATGGCACAGACCCTGGCTTCAAACCCCATAGAACATCAGCACTGACCCTCAAGTGGTTAACATAATTTGAGGCTGATTGTGATCATTTTTGAGATTAGAAATATACTGGCAACATTCAGTGCATGAAAGCATGCTCAAATGGCATCAAGAGATCACAAAAGCCAAGTGGGAAATGACAAAATATTAATGCAAGTACCAAGTTTTACAGTTTTTTTTCTATAATGTTTATATTCTTGTTTTTTAACAATTTTAGTAATAATAAAGGGGAGGTCTGGATTATTTATGAGGGCACTCTACATTACTATACAAACAGTTTGTGTTAATTTGACAATTTGTTAACACTTTATAACTGCTGTTAAAATAATTACATAATTTTTTGGAAGACTCTTAGGAAAACTTCATAAACTAAAAGGTTAAACAACTGTGATGTTTAAGAGCTTACCAATACTATTAAAGATTCTACGAGTAGCTGTGGTAGAAAGGGTGCCTCGTGTTCTGAGGTAGTCAGCCACTTGTCCTGCAATAATACTAAACAGCCACATCAACAGATATGGCAAAGCAGAGACAAAACTGTCCTGTGGGAGATAAGAGAGATAATTATAAATAAAAAAGTTGTGGGAAATTATGCTTACTCATTTAATATACTGACTAATGACTTTGATCTTCAATATTTCCAAACTGGAAATAATTCTTCACATCAACTGATATAGTTATGCCTCTACTATTCAAAGGTCCAGTTACTTGTGCAACAAATAAATATATTTAGATTTTCTTTTAATTGAACAGCTGTCTATCACCAAGGCAGGGTAACCCCCTTCCCCCCCCCCCCCCAAAAAAAAAAAATACATATTTGCCATCATTCTTTCAATAGCTGCCTTGCCAGAAATGTGCTGACATCACAATTCAGATTACCCTTCAACTGCAACATCCCCATCCCTTCTTCAGAGTGTAGGAGTCCTAGAGGTGGGAAGATCTGTGTAGGCACTGACCTTACTACCTCTATGATTCAAGTTTGAATAACTGGTTTCCCCTGAATTCTTTTATAAAAGTTACCCTGCTTACACTCCAATGGCACATACATTAAAAGCAATTTGTCTCCACTGACTCCTATCCTCACTGCAGCATTCAAAACCTTATACATGTACATAAAATTGTTGGTACAGTGGACCCCCGCCGTTCGGCGGCCGTGACTTTCGTGAAATCCAACTTTCCTGGAGTTTACCTGGAGAGAGTTCCAGGGTTCAATGCCCCCACACCCCGGTCTGTGACCAGGCCTCCTGGTGGATCAGAGCCTGATCAACCAGGCTGTTACTGCTGGCTGCACGCAAACCAACGTACGAGCCACAGCCCAGCAAGTTTTTTCAGCAAAATTTAGCTTCGCGGTTCATGATTGGACTCGTGATTCAGCAATCGTCCAATATGCATCCGCCCATCAACACACACACAAAGCCAGTCTCCCGCACTATTCACACTCAGTGTGCCATTGTTTACCAGCGTGTGACTATCACCCCACGGGCTCATAGAACACATTTCATAATAATCCATTGCTTTTTGTGCTTGCAACTGCTAAATAAGCCACCATGGGGACAAAGAAAGCTCCTAGTGCCAGCCCTTTGGTAAAGAAGGTGAGAAACACTATAGAATTCAAGAAAAAACTGATAGCAAAGTACCAAAATGAATGAAGAAGAGAGAGGGAAGAATGTGCCTTCTGCAGTGATTCAGTGATTCTACGATATGTACGATACTAAAGCAGCAGGTACTGATAAAGGCTATAGCTCCAGCAAACGATAAAGTGTAGAATTAACAGTGTAGCAAGTAAGTTAAGCGATTAAGCGATAAACGACATGAAAGTAACTCTCCAATGTCGTTGGATGTGTATAGGACTGCTGAACATATGCCGGCCTGCTATCTTCCACCACTCTAAACCTCTGCCAGCATCTCCTTCATCAAACTAACTAATTAAACTAACATCTCCTCCAAGGTAAGTGTAAATATAAAAGTGTGAGTATAAAAGTAAAGTGTAAATATAAAAGGACCCCAATGGAAATAAGTCACTCTTGACTTTTTTGGGTTATCCTAGGTACTTTACACATATGCTGCAACGTATGATAATCTATGTACATAACTGTATTTGTGTATACCTGAATAAACTTACTTACTTACTTATTTATAAATTAAAATGTAAATATTTCTTATTTATAAATTGCATACATTGTTTAAGTGTCTAATACAAAGCAGAAAGGTATAAGGAGAGGAAGAGTTTGAGGTAATCAGTCCCTCAGCCTGGAGTCAATGTGTTCAGTCCATCAATCTTGTAGAAAGTACAGCATTGTACTGCTACAGCCCTGTGCTGTACTTTCAACAAGATTGATGGACTGAACACATCGACTCCAGGCTGAGGGACTTATTACCTCAAACTCCTCCTCTCTTTATACCTTCCTGCTTTGTATTAGACTGATGAAGTCACTGTGTGGCAAAATGTCTCTTCAATAAAGATTCCCATATGTTGCACAAGTGTCACAATTCTTCAACTTGTCAGTTTTCAAAACCATTCATCACTCTTTGACATCCCTAGTGTGTCTCATACTATGCAAAGAGGCAATGCACAAAAAGGGCCCAAAGATCTGGAATTCATTGCTCGAATCAGCAAAAGGTCCCCTGCCTGCAAATCAATTTAGGGCTATACTTGAAAATAATCTCATCTCTCAATATTAGCCATACCAGCACTGTGCTAAATCATCTACCCAGTTTGAATCAACTCTCCCAAATATTTTATGACCTCTAATCTATTGACCCTTTGAGTGTCGAGACCCCTGCTCGCAAACTTGCTCATGGTGTCGAAGAATTAAAAAAAAAAATTCTTATGAAATGAAATATTTTTCCAAAGGTAATGAAACCAAAAGTTTGAAATTTTATGAAAAACTTGCAGAATTACAATCTCATGAAGTTAGGAGTCTCAGCAATATTTACCAGTTAGTGATTTTGCCCACTTTAGCCCTATTTTGGGCCAATTCCTTTGTTCCATTCAACCAGACTCATAGCTGTTTCGCTAGAATTCCTTTTATTCTATCGATTGACTACAAGAAACTGCCTATTTATTTATTTCAGCTACACAAAAAAATTAATCAAAAATTACTAATTTGGCCAATTTCACACAAAATTCAAGACAGGCCAATTTCAAAATAGGAGCCAGACATTCCTGGCACTAAAATAACATTTTCTCTGTTTATTAGTCACATCTCCAGGCCCCTCTTATATTATGCTTGTTTTTCATTTTGAATTTTTATTCACACAAAAAATAGATGATTTACTGTTATTCAGACTACTGCATAATTATAATAATTGTATAAATAATGTCAGAGCCAGCCTTAGGAGGTGCAGGGCCCAATTGGGAACAATTTTGGTGGGCCCCAAAACTGTGCGCTTAAAAAATGCATGTGAGTTAACCCTTTGACTGTTGCAAGCCCATTTCTGAAACTGTCATTCTATGTCGAAAAATATTTGAAAAAAAAAAAAATTCTTACCAAAATGTTAGGATTATTTTGACGAGTGTTTTAAGCCTGAATTTTTTTTTTTTTTTTTTTGTGATCATTATTTACCGACATACAGAGGCATAAAGTTGGCAGAAAATGAGCTGCATATGGCAACAGCAGCAAATGCCGCTCATCCAGTAAAATTTTTTTTTAATCCTACTCGAAGGTTTCTTGCTTTTTTCCACTACTTTATTTTTTCAGGTAACTTACGTGGCCTGTGAGACCAAAGTAAGGTGCAATGTACATATATACACTCATTGGATACAACACAATAAGCACACAAACATAATTATCAATACAGTGGACCCCCGGTTAACGATATTTTTTCACTCCATAAGTATGTTCAGGTGCCAGTACTGACCGAATTTATTCCCATAAGGAATATTGTGAAGTAGATTAGTCCATTTCAGACCCCCAAACATACACGTACAAACGCACTTACATAAATACACTTACATAATTGGTCGCATTGGGAGGTAATCGTTATGCGGGGGTCCACTGTATATTATTTACAAAACTTGTTTACACAAGCAATACAAAAAATTTTTTATTATTATTGTTCTATAATATGTATACAAATGTACAGTCACTGGACATGTTCCTAGAAGTTCTACAGCTTGTGGAACTCTTTGAAACAGGGTTTCATACACAATGGTGTTTTACACTCCTCACGCATAAAACGAGTGTCTCTGCATTTTTGTGTGCATTTTTTTGTATGTGCACTGACAAAACACCTAGTCTGAGCAGTTTTCTTCAAATTAGTAGAAAACAGTTGTGTTTGGTAGTTAGCCTAGGTAAATGGTCCTGTGTCATCATTCCTTCCTACCTACCTTTCTTTCTTTCTGTCTTCATTCTTTCCTTCTGGTTTCTATATATATACGCATGGGGCTCAACAACAATAAGCCATCTCAGACCATTAATTATTCAACAAAAGGCTGCAGTCAGAATGATAACAAATTCCCACTACAGGCAGCACACTCCACCAATATTCAAAACTCTAAACCTACTCACCATACAAAACATCCATACTTATTACTGCACCTACTACATACATAGAACACTTAACTCTGATATAAACCCTCCCCTCAAACGTCTCCTTACCAACCTCAACAGAACACATGACCATAACACAAAGCACAGATCACTCTTTGATGTTCCTCGTGTCCACCTCATGCTATGCAAAAACTCAATGCACATAAAAGGCCCTAAAATCTGGAATTCATTACCTGTGACTATAGAAGAAACATTGACTGTTTATAAATTCAAGTCTCTTCTCAAAAATCACTCACTCACCCACAACTAAATAATGAATAATTGTATCTCATGAATTGTATCTCATAAATGTTTCTCATAATTGTATCTCATAAATGTCTAACCTGTGAGCCAATCAAATTTTGTTATTTTTTTAATTACATTACCTAACAGAATAGTCCATTCTACTGAATGCTCAGCAACACAGTAAATGACCATATGACCTGTCTTTGTAATACTCATTTGTGCTAAATTGTTATCTGTTTACAATAATGTTTTTACCATTGAATATATCATTGCTTAGTTAATCTTAAGTTAATTTTAAGCCTGCCCATAATGCTCTGCATACAAGGGGCTTTGGCATGTTACACTGTAATAACTGTATTCATCTGTACTTCACTGTATCATGTTCAAATAAATAAATAAATAAATAAATATATAGTCACTGGACACTCACAGAACTGCTATTATCTTCAGGAGAGAGAGAGAGAGTGTGAGAGAGAGTGTGAGAGAGAGAGAGTGTGAGAGAGAGAGAGTGTGAGAGAGAGAGAGTGTGAGAGAGAGAGAGTGTGAGAGAGAGAGTGTGTGAGAGAGAGAGAGTGTGAGAGAGAGAGAGTGTGAGAGAGAGAGAGTGTGAGAGAGAGAGAGTGTGAGAGAGAGAGAGTGTGAGAGAGAGAGAGTGTGAGAGAGAGAAGTGTGAGAGAGAGGAAGAGTGTGAGAGAGAGAGAGTGTGAGAGAGAGAGAGTGAGGAGAGAGAGAGAGAGAGAGAGAGAGAGGAGAGGAGAGAGAGA